AAAAATATAATATGAAAGGTCGTTATTATGTTATTAATATATTTTATCATCTATTTTATTTTATTTCATCATCTCTAATTTTTATCTTTTAAATTAAACATATGGAAACTATTTTATTTGAACATTCTTGTTTATTTGAGTTTCAATAGTTTCGAATTTATGATATAATCATTTTCATACCTAATGCATTTTTTGGATTATTATTGAAATGGAAATATATGAGCATTTTGATCATATTGAGAATTTATTGCATCTCTAAATTAATTTATGCTTCGAATATAAGTTTTAGGTAATTTATCAACCAAATCTTAGATTATTTAATTTATTTTCAAAGTTAGCATTATTACTTTATATGAAATAAAATTGATCACCATTTTATTAATATTCATACACGATGTAAGTAAGATCCTTAAATTCTAGATCATCTAATTCAGATATTAAACTATCAAATAGATTTGATGATTATGAATTAAGAGAAGGATCTTCATTTTCATAATCTTCCCTTAATTACTTTAATTCATAAGATTTTTTCCAATTTTAAATGGCTTTGATATAATAACTTGAATAAAATATCATGACTCCTCTTGAAAAGAATAAATCTGATCTCATAATAAATATTCATCATTATTTAAATTCATTATTTGCTTTAAGATTTGTGAAGTCGATCTATAATTAACCCTTTTAGATAAGCTTTGATCAACCCTCTTTCATAGTACATTTTGAAATTTCCTTTTAAGAATTCAAAATGTAGATACAGCTTTTGTTGAAATTAACCAAACTAGAATAGTATTTTTTCTCTACAATAATAAAGGCTCCCTCATTAAAATTTAAAGTTATAGCTCTATCAAGATATTTTAAAACACTTTTTAAATATCTTCCTATAATTCAAAATCCTTTTTTAAGACTGAAACTAACTAATGTAAAGTCATGAATAGCCAATTTAATTTTATTTATATCAATTGTAGTTTTCCTTTTTATAATCTTACATCTTTTTAAATCCAAACGCACCTCAAAAAATTTGTATATTCATAAAATTTGCTTTCCAAATTTTTTTATTACTTTAAGTAAATGATTTTTTTTGAAAATATAATAAAGCTCGATAAAATTATTATTACGATGCTAACATGTAAAAGGCTGCTTTTGATAATTTAACTACTAATATAAAGACATAATTATGAGTTTCCACCTCATGGTATGGTAGGATATATTTAAGCCTATAAATCAACTAACTTTTTGGAATATAAAACTAAAAAAATAATTTGTTATTTTCAGTATGATAAATCTGGAATCAAATGTTGCTATATTCTATAATATTTACTTTGGTAAAAGCACAACCCTTATATGTAGTAGGCTAATTAGCTGTGAAAGGATAGTCCACTTGTTTTATTTATAAAGAAGCTGCTTAAACCAATTCAGCTCTTGGACTACAGATTTTATTCTATTAATTTGATTTCCTAATATTTGTGATGGATTATTAGTCGAATTTTTTAATGTTTAAACAGATATTTAATCCTCACTATTCAGTTCTCTTTTTTTTTTATATCCATTTTTTAATTTAAATTAAAATTTTAAATCTTATCTGTTGGATTAGAAACAGATATAAGGGCATTAGGTCTTTTTAAGAGGAAATTCAATGTATTTGACCCTTATTATTCCACTCTAAAGTCTTATGATTAAATTAAAAACCATTATTTCTTTTAAATATAAGGTCAGTCTCTCTTCGACTCATTAAGTTCCTTGATTTTGTTGATCTATCCAAAGTTCGGTTAAAGGATCTTCAGATATTCATATCTAAATTTTGCCCTGATAAGACATTGAAGAGAACATATTTTATAGATATATCCCATGTTTATCTCTCCTTACTTTACTCTTAGTTACTACTTTAATGGATGGCATATCTAATTAGTCGAATTTATGGTCTGGTCTAACTAATTCATTTATAATAATGAATACATCATTTAAATGTTAAGATATATCTGTCTTACTAAACATTCTTGGAAAGGCTGCAACTATGCTATTCTTAAAAGTTTATTCTCCAAATCAACTAATTATCGATTCTCAAATTTCAAAATTGTTTGGCATTATCTCATACATTTTTCTTATCAATATATACCTTAATATTTAATCACATCTCTACACAACAAAGGCGAAACTATTGGAATAATGTTAAGCTAAAATTTATTCATGTATATTTTCAATTTTATATAAATTTAACCTAAAATTATTACCATTCATCGGAATTACAACCTTGAAATTCCACTTATTCTATCATTTCTTACATTAATAATTGATTTAGTTTTCTGGCTTATTTTATTTACAATACCAAGACTACGATTTTTTTATTAATTAATAATATGAATCATCCATCCACCTATCCAGAGAAATTCCATATATAATTTCTACTAATAATCATATCCAATTAATCTAAAATATTTCACGTTCTACTATGAATAACCAAATTGATGAGTGTCTTTATTTTTTATTTAATATTATTCATAATTAATAATATTCCAATATAAAAGACTTTGTAAAGTTAGGTTTATTTGTAAAACGACAAATAATTGCATATTATGTGTTAACGCTCTTCAATGGTTTTAAGAAAATAACAATTTTGATCCTGTTTTAGCTTTTACATGTCCATTTTTATTTTATTGCCATAATAGGGAGAATATGCAAAACTAACATATTCACTTTTTGATTAATAAATTTGCCTTTTAATCACAATTTTTCCAGAAAG